AATTGAGTAAATACCATTTCTTTCAAGCGAGAATTCGAGTTTAGGGTCTAGGTTTTTTGAACATAAACTTTTCTAGGAGTTGATTCCTTGCAAAAGTGTATTTCGGCGGGCTGAATTTCTCGGTGGCAACTATTTCGGGAAATGTATTCCTGAGGCGAATCTTTCCAGGGAGAACCTTTCGGAGGGAAATTGTCTGGCTTCGGAAGTGAATTCGATGTGCGAATCTTCTGGGGGCGAATCCTCTGGACGCGAATTTAATGGAGACGAGTTTACAGTGACGAATTTTCCAACGTGAATTTCCCGCTCACGATATTTTACAATTACGATTGCCAAAAATGGTTTAAGTCACTATTTGAAAATAAAGAATATTAAAAGGACAAACTTGTGTCGATCGGAAAGACAGCAACAGTATTCTTTATAACAGCAACAGAAACAGTAAAATTGGCCATGATGATCGCCAATTTCGAATTACGAGGCATGTATTGAATAAATTCTTCTATTGTACATAATTATTAAGGCCTTTTGAACGTAGCAATAGAAGCATATTCAATTATAAATTAAAAGAACAAAAATTACTCTGTAGTTTATAAGCGAGTCCGAGCACGCCTGAACAAAAACTCAATTCCTTAAGGGTTTAAATCGAAATAAATCTGATTACTACGAAGTTTCCATTCAATCAGAAGAAGTTTATTAATTGAAAAGTTAATAACCAATAAGGTGGGCACAATGAAGTTCAGCAACGCAACGTTTAGTCATACCACGTTAATTGAAATACTCAATTATAGAAGTTATAATTTAATTTAGGTAACTATTAAGTTTCGTAGATAATTTATACGGGAATTGTGAGGTGTCTCATTTCATGCGTTTGATCCAAATGTTATTGCTTCTTAGAGAATTGATTCCGAGAAAGTTATGTAGTTTCGTATTAAACTTGTAATTTGTAGAATTGTGCAAAGTTAACTAATCGAATTGACAACGAAGTATTACACACGCTAGACGAAAATCAAATTGGCAGAGTTTCCTATAGTGATTATAAATATGACTTACGAGATTTAAAAATCAATAGGTACAGATAAAAAGAACTTGCTTATATGAAGTAAAAGCTATGGGCACTTTAGCAGAATGATTTGGTCTGAGACCGGTCATGGAGCTTTATTTTTCTTAAAACGACGCGACGCCAACGCCAACAATTAATACATTTATTTATCAACGACATCGAATTATTGCAAACTGCAATGGCCAACTGTCAATAAACCACACACAAGCACCTGACCCGCTAGCTCAAATAAAACACATAACCGCCTCCAAAAGTCCAAGGAATTAATTAATACATTTTTAATTAACACCTGATGTAACTCTGGGTACGAAATAGAAAAATGTGACATGAACATTAGCTCTTATCTAGGTCGTTATTTGGGGTTGATTAAACACAAAAGTAATCGTTTACAAATGAAACAAATTTGTTCGACATATATCAACTGAAAAATAGGCGCTTAGTCCAAAAAAACAAAAATCACGCAGCAATTCAACCAATGATCGAAGGAACAAATCAATTAAAGTAAGTCTTAATTACCTGGTAAATCTCCGGTCGTACTGCGATTTCTAAACAGACCCACTAACACAAAGCGCCAGGGGAAAATGCTTCGAAACTTCACTCCTTGACATTAATTATAACACTTGAATCTCGATTTAGAGGACACTGGGTTCGATGTAATTACTGATGTAAAATTTTGATTTTTGATGATGGAAAACTCCCTTAACGGGTGAGAAACAACTACCTCTTTTATCGCGACTTAAATCTCAGCACTCAATTTACTTTCTTCTATAAAGAACTTTACGATTATAAAGACTGACTGTCTTCCCAATAAGACGCTCAAATAACGGCATAATTGCCAATCGCCAAAATAATAAGCAGCTACGTTTCAGCCAAACAAACAAAACAAAGATTAACGTCCATGTCACACATCATAATATATACGCTTTTTCTTAATCATTATTTTATCAGTGGTTCTCAAACGGGTTATACACGGTGTAGAAACGGTTTACGCACCATAGTGCTTTCAATGCAATTTCATTCTATTGAAATAATTTCTCCCCTAATTAATTTAGAGCAAAGTTGCAGCTTAAAAAATTCTGCATCTACTAATGCCCTTATTTATTATTTTTCATTCGGGAAACCGGAAAAAATAAATAAATTAGAATTTAATATTTGCGTAACAATCAAACTCCTTTGATCTAATAGAAGTACTACAGATAATCTAGTTCTACTGCAGAATGAAATTGCTAACGCTTTTGCCATTAATCAAGAAGTCATTGTTGCAATTCTTGATATTGAAAGTGCGTTCGACACTACCTGGAAACCCGTCATCTACAATAAATTTATAGAACTGAATTTAACAGGAAACATATCATCTTTCATCCAAAACTTTCTAACCAATCGTACAGCAAGAGTTTTGGCTAACAATAAAATATCTAGAACCATAGCGCTGGTGGACGGAGTTCCGCAAGGGGCAGTTCTTAGTACAACCCTATTTAACTTGGCTATTAATGACTTAGGAAAATTTTTCCGCCCTCCAATTAAATGTGCCCTCTATGCAGATGATCTGATAATATACTGCACGGGAAAGGTAACAGCAACTTCCTGCAGTTTACTTCAAAACTCAATAGATGAGATTTCCCGTTGGTCCAGAATGACAGGTTTCAACTTTTCGGCTTCAAAATCCAAAGTCATGAAATTTAGCAGACGGAGAAATAACTTCAATCCCCACGTAACGCTGAACGGTGTCCCTCTTCAGGTAGTAGAAACGTACAAACTCCTAGGCCTAACTTTTGACCATAAACTGACCTGGAGAAAGCATATTGAAGAAACAAAAGCGAACTGCATGAAGAGAATGAACATACTCAAATCACTGGCACATCATCAATGGGGAGCTCAAGAAACAATGTTGCTAAGAATATATAGGGCATTAATACGATCAAAACTAGATTATGGCAGCATAGTATACTCTTCTGCTAGTAAATCTGCCCTTAAGATGCTTAATGCAATTCACAACACCTCTCTCCGTATCTGCTTAGGAGCGTTCCGTACCAGCCCAGCAGAAGCCCTTTACTGCGAAGCCCATGAACTTCCTCTCCACCTTCGTCGCGAACAGCTTCTTCTAGCTTATTTCTCCAGAATATCCGCTAACCACAAGAATCCGGTTTACAGTGCACTGATGTCAGCGCAGATCAATAACATTACCAAACACCCCTTTCCAGTCACTAAAATATTAAGAGACCTGGTAGGAAATACTGATTTATCCAAAACTACTCCACATCCAAACTCTCTCTGCCCTCTATGGACTAAGCAAATGCCTCAGATCAGCAAAACCTTATGTAAATACAATAAAACTGATACTCCTAACCTAGTTCTTAAACAATCATTCCTTAAGTTAATAGACAAATACGGACATTCAAACAACACACTATACACAGATGCTTCCAAAGACGACAAAAGTGTTAGTTGTTCAGTCACGACATCAGATTCCACAATAGCGAGATACGTGCTACCAAACTTTTGTAGCATTCATACTGGAGAGCTATATGGAATCTTAATGGCGCTAAACACAATTACCGGCGAGAATAAGAAGACAATAATATGTACCGATTCCCTGGCAGCGATACTTTCCATCGACAATATATTTACCTACCCAAAATTGGCTAGCACAACAGATCCATGACTCCTACCAGCAACTTGTTGCCAGGAATAACACTGTAACTATTGTCTGGACGCCTTCTCACGTAGGGATTCCTGGGAATGAAAGAGCTGACCAAGCCGCAAAAGAAACTCTAAACATGGATTTGCATTTGCCCACAGTACAAATTCAACTACACACCGAACTCCAAAACTCTCTTTACCAGCAAATGGCAACATATTTGGAGCCTCTCCAACGCCAAACTGGCCCAAATTCAAACACAAATAACTGCACATAATCTACCCTTAATGCCGAGAAAGGATACCATAATAATACACAGATTAAGGATTGGTCATACTGGTGTCACGCATGGCCACATCTTGGACAGTCTCGATCCACCACGGTGCGAATGCAACGACATTCTTACTGTAAACCACATTCTCTCCGAATGCCCAAAGTATGATGAAAATAGACTAAAATGGCGGATAGGGACAGACCTGAAAGAAGACCTTGCAACACCAGAAAATATTGCCAGAGTAATTAATTTTCTGAAAGACATCAGATTGTATAATTGTATATAGATACCGTCCTATACTTATTATGTTAGCCACACTTATCTTACTGTAACTGTGCCAATGGCCATAAGTAGTCGAGGCACAATAAATTAAAAAAAAAAACTTTTATCGCCGACTAGCATTAGAATGCTATGATTATGAATGTCAAAATCATTAATAATCCGTCACTTTATGGCACGTGCCATAAAGTTGTGCCATAAAGTCGCCTTGACAACAAATTTAGGCTGATTGTTGATATATTATTTATTAATGTTAATAGTAATAGTACAATTTGAATTTCCGGAAATTGAAATGCCTGAACTAGATTGAAGAACACATTCATTTGTAGTCGATGATGCACTAGTAATTCCAGATACTGAGATAGTTGATGAAGATGCCAAATCCCTGATTCTCTGGCAGCTAACAGTGTTAACAGATCCTAAGGTTCTAGCAATTTTGTTCTTGTTTTCTCGTGAATCCGCCACATACCTACCCTTCCGCAACAGCATCGCTTTTCCAGTCACCATGTCTTTTCAATGTTCGAATGTCTGCGCCACTATCTGCAAGGATTGTAGCAGACGTTCTGCGAAATGAATGACCAGTGAACTGATCTGCATTAGGAAGGTTCAGATATTTGGCAATTTTACGAGGAATTTGACCAAAGGTATTGATGCTAATGGGATTACACGTACACTTTCCCGCACCATAGAATAGAAAGAACTTCTCTATTTTAACATGCTTTGGTCTTAAATTTATGTACTTTTTAATGAGCTCAGTGTAATTCATGCTATCATCATTTAAAATTGTGAATGTTCTGGGTCGATGTGTTTTCGTATCTTTGAGATTCACCACAAAAACTGCACCCTCTTCTTGGACATCGCTTACACGTAAATTGTAAAACTCTATCCTTCTGCAAGCACCAAATAATCCAAATATTGCAACAACCTAAAATCATACTTTTATAGTAACCTTTTGTAGCAATAAGAGAAACCCACCCACCTTCATAAGGAGATATTGTTCGTCACAAGCCGAGGTCAAAAAATTTATTAACTGATTCTTTGAGAACACCAAAGATTTTTCTGCTGAATACCCAACTGAACACTTTTTTAAAAAAGCAGAAAGTTTAGAAAACTGGCTAATGTCAATGTCATTTTTTATTCGTAACATACATTTCAGCTTGGAGTACATGCACCACAATGACGAGGACTTGTAATTTTTTGACTAAAACGGAAGAAACAATAATTACAATTAGGTATATAATTATTTACAGTCTAATTGATCTACCTGATCCAGAAAATACGCCAGCAAAACCTTCTCTGTCACAATTTCGGCATTATTGTTCCGCATCCAGTGACAAAATTTTTCAAATTCCTTTTTGTAAAAGTCTTCTGATTTCTTTGGACACAAACTGGATTCCGCTTCTTCCGCTTTCTTTAAAATTGCATCACACAAACTCAAATCTTCCGCAAAATTCATGTTTTGTGCGTGTTTTGTGCAAATGGCGCCGCTTTATTTATTTATTAACAAAAGTGAGCTATCAAAAACCATGGTAATGTTTAAAACCGCTTTGATGTAATTTTAGATTTAGGTATTTCCGATTTAAGTTTATCGATCAGAATTTTTATTTTTGAAAAGTTCTAGTCGGCGATAAAATAGCGTATGAAATTTGTTTATAATGCAAGGGATTATGACATTCGTGATATTACCGCATTCGCTTCGCTCATGCGTTAAACATTCACTCATGCCATAATCCCTTGCATTATAAACTAGTTTCATAATATACAGTGTGAGCAACAATGATTGAAGCGTGCGTCATCACCGCTTGTTCCTATTAATATCAAAACTACCTTCTTTGTATGAAGTTGTATACGAAAATGACGTTCTGCGCTGTCACAGTGACGTGCGTCTATTCGTATTTCGTATCTTGTATCAAATCAGCATATGCTATGAGCGGCACATTGCCAATTTAGCTGAAGCGGCACGCTTCAATCTTTGTTGCTCACTCTGTACTATTGTTTAATAATTTTATGGCACGAGTGATTTTTAGTAAAATGCTAATTTATAATTTCTCGGATTTCCCACAACCAAGAATGAGCACATAAATCAACGCAGAATTTTACAATCTACAAAAAATTTAATTGAATTGAAATATTCCGGTATAAAGAAATTGCCATTGAAATACCTATATGGTGCGTAAACCAATTCTACACTCTGTATACCAAAGGCAATTGTGTATTAATGGGTGCTAGCGGCAAAATTTCGGACTCATAGAATGATAATCCCAATGCCATTGATTCGTATCCGACCACATACGGGTTGATGGCATTTGGATTATCATTATACGAGTCCGAAATTTTGTCGCAGGTACTCAAGCTTAATCCTAATCCAATTAATCACATCCGGATTAATGGTTTGAGTCCGACATTCTGTCGCTAGTAGTAAATTCTAATGAGATTGATTAATTCGCAATTACTTTTTGTCTAAATCGGTATGTAGGTATATAAATAATCCGCCGAATCGCGTTCTGTAAAAACACCCGCCCTCCGAAACGTCCCTACGCTGAAACGTCGCGCACCGGATGATGATATCTAGTTGTCGAAACAGGTACAGTTTAGCAAAATTCTTCATTGTTTTTTGTGTGTTAAATGTTCAATTCAGTTTATTATTTTGTCTAAATACATTCACAGAAAGTGTAATGTAAACTCAGTCGATGACCTCAAGGGCAATTAACGTTTGATACGCCATAAGGGTTGTTCTCTTGACTAAGTTTGCATTTTTGTATTCACGAATACGTATTTTAAACAGCTTATCTTCCCTTTCAATTACTTCAGTAAACACTATCTACATTTAGCATGTAGCTAATACCTAGCGTAAGTACAGTCTAAAGCGATTTTCGGTTAGCGAATTTGTATTTGAAAAACTAGTCACACACATTAGATTTAATTGAAACGGGGCTCTACAATGCATAATCTGGGTTAAATTACTCGTTACCCATTGCGCCGCTACACGGGATAATTAAAAACAAAATTGGCAAGCATGCTCGCTTACAGAACGATTTTAATGGTAATTTCGCTTAAATGACTCGATATTTCAAAAACTTCATCCGCACGATAGTGTTAAAAGGCTCTAATTGGTGGTGAAGTTAATTGTAAAATAGAACCACTTCAAAACGATTCTGTCAAAAGCTACCCTTATTAATTTCAGTCCTTTTTTTTTATTACTCGACTCTTGGTTGTTGTTCATATTTTCATGAGTTTAACTGCACCTATATCATAAGCGATTTCTTTTACTCGTCATTCAAGCTGTATATGACGTGTCAGCTACAACCCCAAGTTCAGGTGCTTATTCGTATCAATGATCATTAGGGCTGTTCAGTACGACAGCAAGGTGGGATACTGGAACTTATTTTTGTGTGGTGCTTAACATTTTATGTGTAGGTATGTGATGATCTATTGAAAGTAGAGCGTGCCCAAATGCATTGATAAGAAAAATTAGTGTAACTTTTTATCATTCAGAATTCGATAGAAGCCAATTTCGCAATTTTTCATTTATAGGTTTTTTATTAAGGGTAGTTGAAGTATCCTTGGAGACTAAGTTCGCCATTTTACGTTCTACCTAAGCTTTCAAAGTGTTTTTCTGACTTTAAGTATCTTATATACTTCTCATCTAATACGTTACAACTATTCCTAACATATTTTGTAGCAACAAACGAACTAGATTTATTTAAAAATATTCCCAGTAGTTATAAAAGTCATCAAATAGTGGATTCATATTTGCACATTTGTCTATTTAGGGGAATTGATCTGTTTTGATAGGGTAAAGATATACCGGAACCTCCCCAAACAGATTACCACATGGTGTTCTGGCATGAAACAGTATAGACGACTTTAGCGCATTTTAGTTCGCTAGATTTTGTTCGGCAAGCAGAAGAAATGAGCTCTATTCACAAGCTTTTATTATTATTATTTTATATTAAAGAAAAAATCGCCAGCCGTTCGGGACCGGACAACTGGTCGCCGATGAGATTGACTTCATACACATGGCATACTTAAAAAAACAATTTCCCTTTCTTTTCAACTTCCGTCTCCACTTCCTTAACAAATTAATGCTTCGTTGAACAATAAACTGCGCCTGTGCTTTTTTATCTTGAAATTGATTAGCCTACGCCACTGGAAAACTTTAACAAATTTTACGCAATTGTTTCCAGATGTCATTTCCCACATAATAAAATTGAACAAATAAATGAAATATAAGGTGATTATTTAAACAAAATTAGCATCTAATAATTTTGATACAAAACAAAATTGACCTCGAACTCAATATGATCGAATCTTGTGCCCAATCCCAAATTACAACCAACCGTTAACGTTAAAAATAATTACAATGCGCATACAGAGTGTTCCATCGTTATTGCATGTGCCGAAGCCAAAAAATCCCCGCATGGTGTAGTTTAAACTAGTCATGCAACGGAAGTGTTATCACGGAAGCAGAATCGGAAACAGAAGACAAAATATTTTTTTGCAGAAACGGAAGCAGAACCGGAAGTGTAAATACCTCGGTAAATACTATTATCAATTTGATAAATACTAGAATAATGAGTCATATACATGTAGTTTATTCACGAACTAATGAGATTAATGGAAGGAAACCATAAGAAGCAAGTCATGGCACGTCTGACGGCCGGGTCGGCTGGTAAACTCCGCCCGCGGCTCACGTCACTTGTCCACCCGTCGACCAAACAGAGCGCACAGCACACCTTGACATATATGAAAAATTCCGGTATACTTCCGTTATCAAATAGCAGAATCGGAAACAGAAACGGAAGTGAAACAAGTTGTAAATCAGCATATGCATGATGAAAGCGCATTTTTGGTAATGCAGATCAGTATTTTATTAGCGAAGTTTAAAATTATTTATCTCATGAGCAATTGAACCCAAAACAGACTAAAGCCTGCACATCTACGCTATAGCAAAAATCTTTTAGTGCGTTTCTAGCTATTGTAATTGCTGAGGTCTCAGCCGGACAGCCAGCCAGCCAGCCATAACGAATATAATGACGTAGTTTTTTCAAAAATGCGCTAAAAATACACAGAACTTGCTCTACTACAGCTCAAGTAATTGAGTTGCTACAAAATATTCTTGAATCTTTGAATTTTGGTGTTAAAGGTTAATAAATAAAAAAAATTAATTAGTTAATTGTGATCAACCATTAAAAGCGAAATATGCAGACAATAATTAGTGTTAGCCTATATCCACTATAAAAACAAGAAAATACACCGAATGAAGTAATGAAGGATGAATATTTTATAACTGAAACGTGTATAGTACAGTTCTAAGTAAATATCTGTACCTACTTATATCATACACAAAAAGGCGTTTACTGGGGAGCAACTGAACTATGACCGGTTCAAGCCCAGACGAGACATGAATAATGCAATAGAACGGGGTGTAACAGTTTCATTTATTATATAACGAAACGCGATATTGTAAATAGCCCAATTATGCTAATAAGCTAATCAGGTCACAAATGAAAATGTTGTTGACACTTGTTGATTAATTGCAGGTGAAAACAGAACGAACATGTGCGGTGAATGATTGGTATCGCAAGGTCTGGTTATTGAAATTCTTATTATTTACCTTTGTAATAAATATGTATTTTTGCAGAAATTGGTTGAAGGCGTTAGCGGAAAAATATGTATATGGTAATAATATATTTTGAATTGAATTTCTGGCAACTGCTACAAAGAAGAATCCCAGTATTGACTTAAATTAATGATTTGAGAGACTCAGTGACCTCCATTAACCTTCGAAAATTCTAAAGAATTTATTATAAACATTATGATCAACACCTGAAGTAAATCTAAGGTAAATCTGATACGAACACTCTATCTGGGTCGCACGATGGGTCCGATTAGACACACAATTAATTGATCAACAGAGACAAAAATTTATTGCGAAACATTAGAAATGAAAAATTAAAATAAAATTCCCAAAAAAAAAGAAAAACACACAAAGCTTTTCAACAAATAAAATTAAAAAATCTTAAAATTACGTACAGTTTTTTTAAAAAATAATCCTAATAATAATCATAATACCGGTTTGCAATAACACGGCACAAAACGTTTACAGTTTCTGATATTCAATTTTCTTTTACACACAAACAACATTAACTTAATAACTCAAATGAGGAATTGCTCGTGGCTGTTCAGACGGTAGAAACTGTTAACTTTTAATAGCAAGAGAACCTTAACAGGAGATCTAACGGTGAACTATATGCTTGCTTTTTCAACTTGGCAGACTTTTTCCTCAAAACGACTAACCACGTAACTTTGGACAACAATATTTGACTCGGTGAAAGTCAGAAATGTGGATCTTCAACTTTCTCCTTCTTTTCCTCCGCGTAATGATATAAAACCAATTCTTTTTAATCTATAAATGTAGAATGGATCTACCTCCACTCTAAATTATTACTACTTCCTATAGCGTACAAAAAAAAGGTTTTTTTTTCAATTTTCGCGCATGTTCCTCGAGAGCAATCCTATTTGGATGAAATAACACATGGATTTAAAATAGACCTCCGTTGCTTTATGGTCCAACTAATGGTTTGAATTCGTAAGAGTACATAAACGTGCATCTTGCACACATATCATACATTTACAATTTACTCTCTAAAGAGAATTAAATTTTCAATTATGAAAAGGGTCATAAAAATTCCCAACTTCGCCCGGAAAAGTGCATGAGGTAAATTACCAACGTCG